CATCATTCGTTAATATATGTGTATACATATGTGCAAGTTACCGGTCACGTGGTCATTGTACAATATGTCTTATTATATATATGTATAAGTCAAGGTTGAAAGTATAAATGGAGTGCTTTAAATTATAAACTTGTTTTTGAAATGGTAAAAAAATATTATGATAAAATGTTGAACAGTGAATAAGAATAAAGTATAATTTAGTAATGGAGTTTGCATAATGTTCAACCAGTATGGAATGTGAAGGGTGTATATTACACTTAGTTATTTGTATAATATTTACGTTTGTATACTATCAAACTTGTGCAATAACGCTCTTTTTTTTACTTTTCAAAGTCTTGTTTTTTTCAAAATGAATTTTTAAAGCAGCATGCCTCCAGATTTTAGACAATAGTTATTTTATGAAAATATGATTAAGTGTTTAGAAATAAATATTGCAAACGTTAACAAAACTAATTATATTAAGTAACTTTAGGCCCACATTGCAACATGAATGTTATAAAATATGTTAAGATAAGAAAAAAATACCGTAATTCCATTTTCAACAAGGCTGGCTATGAAAATAGTACTTTTTAATTATATAAAGTACATTTTATTCTTTTTCAGAACCTTCTATACATTTATATAAAATTTTATTCAGACAAATCCTTAATTTCTGTATAATTGTTTATCCTTTTATTTCTATTTTTAGGACTTTCAAATTATATAAAGTACATTTTATTCATTTCCAGAACCTTGTATACATTTGTATAAAATTTGATTTAAACAGATCGTTAATTTCTGTACTTTTCTTTATATATATTTTTACTATTATTTTTAAGCGATGTAGGGGACTGAACTTGTAAGGGGGAGGGAGGGTGGAGGGGGGGTTGGAGCTCTGCAGCTCCCTGGTTAGTTTAAATGAGTACGAAAAAATATTATAAAATTCAGCTTAATCAACTACTTAAGACACTAATATTTTAAGTTAGAAAAGAAAACGAAGTCGCAATTTATTCATCGACAAATAGATCTTGGAAGTGTAAAAATTTAAACAAACACTTCGTACATAGCTCAAGTTGTGAAGTACTCTTTTCAAGTCTTTAAACAAAGTTTGTTTTTCTTTGATGAGACGTGCTTCAAAATCGTATACAATTACTTGAAGTATAAATACGTAAAACACTATCTTTTAGGAACAAACACGCACGAGATTACTATAATTTCACATCAAATATGTTTTGGAGTGTAATCATATACAAAATAAACGTAACTGTGCGTAAAATTAATTCATATTATTATAATTAATATACAGACTACGTACAGCTATATACATATCTTGGATTATTGGCTATAGGAAAAAAGTACATCCCGAATAATTGGCTATAGGAAAAGGCTTGTCCTTAAAGGGACCGAGGTCTTTGTATTATGGTGAATAGCATATCGTTACAAAACTGTTAAAACCCTACTTAGAATTACAGCATTATATTCCTTAACTTACAACATTTTTATTCTCTAAACGCACAGTATCATATACGTTAAATGATAAAACAACTATTTTAACAATTGACCGTAATATCACGAGAACACCCTAATATTACTGTGTGAAAAGATATTAACAATATTTCATAAGATATATCTTTAACTCGTACAAAAAACGAATTTCAGTTTTACTCTGGTTGTTTCTATTCTTTTAGAAATTTTGGCATATTTTCGTTTGGTTTTGAGTAAGATTTCATTTTTCACGAATTTGGACCTCAGTTGAGCCCCTATGATTTCATCGTGTTACTTTTATACATTTTTTTCTTACAAACTGAAAATGCCGTTTTCAGTTGACAAAATTTATGAAATTAAACGAATACATATGAGCCGTGCCAAGACAAAACAAATGGGTTTGCAACCAGCACGGATCCAGAACAGACTGCGCATCCATTGATCGCTATCCGATTCTTTACTTGCAATAGCGTTTTGTAAGCGAACAGCATGGATCCTAATCAGACTGAGCGGATGCACAGGCCGGTCTGGATCCCTGCTGGTCGCAAACGCACTATGTTGGTTTTGTCGTGACGTGGCTCAATTATGCTTATAAAAGAATAGGCAAGTCTAAATATAAAATATTTTACATCTATACGGCCTGATACACACATCTATACGGCCTGATGCCCATATCTATATGAGGCTGATACTGTGTGTCAAACCGGAACTTACCCTCAATTTAAGAAACCTCGAAGATAAGGTTAGTCTAATACTAATGAATGAACCAAGGTAAAGGTACAGAATGCACAAATATGTTGTTTGCTGTACTTTGAAAATATTTTTTTTTTTAAGTTAATAAGAATATCACTCTGCTTAACAAGCTTTACCTTTCTCTTTGTTCCAAATCACTTAAGAACTCATCTAAAGAAGATGCCTTCAGAAGCCGCCTATCTAGGTAATATGCATCAGCCAAAACTGGGTCGCTTGCTCGCGGCAGGTATCGTCTCACGTGAAAACCGTTCCTTTTCAACGGCCCTGATGCGCATGCGATTCGGTTGTTGTCGTTCAGCCAATAATTCGGGCCGAATTGTGTGACGTCATGAAATATATTTGATGACGTATAAAAATCACTGACAGAACCGGAAATGACGGGTTCCTCACCTTCAAGGTTGATATTAACCAGAAAAGGTCCTGATATTGGACGATTAACGTTGATTGAAACTTCAGTCCCTGAAAATGGAAAACAAGAAAGAATTGAAAATCAAAACCACATTTACCTACAAATCAAAAACGCTTATAAAATAGGCCTATCCATTCGTCTTCCTACTGGATAAAGGTCTACTAACAACTGAGAGGTTAGTAGTAACTATACAGTGTAAATAAAACAATGTGTATCTTAAAGGGTAAACATATGTATAGTTATTATGAAATATTTAATATTTTAATAAATATATCAACAGTAAAATTATATTGGGTTTATTATTATATAGTTAATTCCCGAAAATGATGTAATATAGACTATCTCTGTTATCTAATACACATGAATAATGTACGTAAACAGAATAAAATGTTCCGGAACAAAATATTATTTTGCTATTTAAAGTAGGGATTTAGCAATGATTTTGTGCATGCGCCATTCGCTTTCAAGGTAATAAATTACCATATTTAATTCATACAAGCATTTTGAAAGAATTTTTTTTTAAAATACAAACATTAATTTTTGCATCAAATATAGCTTTATACAATAACAATTCCTTTCTTTATTTCGTACCAGTCTCGTTTACCATTCGGACAAATGTCCAAATATCATTATATGAGTTCATATTAACGTTATTATTATGCATCAAAATGATTTAAGTAACACATGTTTATGATATCAACGGATTGATATTGTACTAACTTTATGATAATCAAAATTATGTTATTAAAGTGACCGTTTGTATTTTTTATGTTAAAAAGATTATATTCAAACGTATATTTATCATTTTTTATCATGAAAAATGAAAAAGCAATTTCATTTTTTTTTGTGACAGCGTTACTCTATGTCATTCGATGACAATGCCCAATTGTCACGAAAAGAAATAGCCTATCAAATATATCATGTTCAAACAAATTACTTCATTTGATAAAAAATGATAACGCAATTACGGCGTCATATTTCAGTATTTTGTCATAATATACGAGATGAACGTTGAATTGAAACAACCCACTCTCCCGGATACAGACGTGCGCGCTGTTTTGTGAGTATAAAAATACATGTTTAATATTTCGCTATTGTGTATTTTTGATATATAGCCGCATATGGTTGATAGTCCGAAAAGTGCGTGCCTTTTATCAAACAGAACAGCCTCTTTATTGGTGGCATGGTAACTTGGTCAGTTGCTTTAAGTGAACTTGAAAATGCATATTTAATATATCTGGAAAATGCATATTTAATATATCTCGGAGTTATCCCACTACATTGATGCTGGAGCAGTACCTCTTGCAGAAATTATGATCACAAAATAGAAAAATAGCACCTTTTTTCGGAGATTTTCTTTACATTTTTTTCATTCATGATCCTATATAAATCGATGTGAAGAGATGAATAAGACGTCTTAAAGTACATTTCGCCGGGTCAAAAAGGCGACATTTTAGCTTTAAGCCATTCGAGCACCTTGTCCGGTATATACCGGAATACGGTATTAAATTTGGTGCTACCCTTATAGAGTTCCTTTTTAACCCGCTTCCATCAATTTTCATAATATTATAACAAATGAAACAGTAATTTGGTGAAACGTTTAGTATCAGTATCATTTTCTGTTGAAAACTATAAAGAGAAATGTTTCAAAACAGTAAAATGTATAGAAATATAATAACTTTGCAGACTTTATTTTAACTATTGATAAGTAAATGAAAATATAGACATAACGAATAGATTTTTACAGACATAAGGCCCTTGACACAGTTGTTAAATCTGCCATCAATCTTAAATTCTATGCAAATTTTAATTCATTTTTTTTCAATGTCGTAAATTAACATAAGCTCTTAAGATAAAGAGATACCGTTAAGAGTATTCAATAAAAATAAATACGGTGATCTTCTGTTATGAAATATTATTTTCATTTTGGACAAAACCAAAACTCTTTTTTAGTGGGAATTAAACAAGAAATAGTACTGACTGCATAGCAAACAGTGCAGATAACTGTAGTTAAATGACCGGAATGTGGAGCGGTGACCTAGTGGTAAAGATGCCTGCCTCTCAAACTATGGATCATGGGTTCGAGCCCTAATCGGGTCACGGCCATGTTTCTTCATATGGCACCATTACTGGTTGGTTCCAGGGAGCGGACTAGAAAATGATTAATATAAGTTGCAAGAACTTGTTTCGAAATCGAGCTTAAAAAAATATGTTTAAACCAGGAATGTGGCAGGTGATCTTAGTTAGCATCAGTCGCATTTATTTGGTAGAAAAAGGCTAAAGAAATGGAGTAAGAAAGTGTTCGATAAACACTGAAACCATTTTCTTAAATGCAATTTCATAAACATTTTGTAGGATTTTACAAGTGTTTGTACAGAATTATACCACGCCTAAGGACTACAGTTATGATGAAATTTCACGAATATTCAGAATTTAACGTTAAAGGTTAAGGTAAATATCCGGTCAATAAAGTTGAAACAGTTTCTATCAGTATCTGTAACTAAATGTGCTAACGTTGGAACTAACGATCGGCATTCGTTTTCTACAAGTCATTATGAAAAAAGTGTTTGAAAGTCAAGACCAACATGCGAACTATTTCGGAGAGTTTCTGTCTTCCTTTACACAATACATTATAAGTGAAATGATTGAGTTCGGTATATGCTAAATATCCATATCTAATTACAGACAAAAGTGTACCAGATCTATATCTGTTAACATTTCCCTTATTTACAAGTGTCACGCAATACATATATTTTAGTTACTGTATATGTTTCACAAACTTAACTTAAATGTTATTTTTTATGTTTACCATGTTCATTATTGTTTATTAATAACTTACTGATTTTGAACATGAAATTCAAAGCATACTGAAAGAAAGAAAAAAAGTAAGAAAGAAAGAGAGAAAGAAAGAAAGAAATAAAGAAAGAAAGAAAGAAAACACGCAGGGGAGTATAAATTGTAAGACACCTTTTTGACTTTTGGTATACAACAAGGTTCAATATTTCCCCTATTTAATTTTCAGATTATGCAAAAAAGATAATGCCAATGTCTTAATCTAAGATACTTTATCAGCGAATTAAAGCGCGAAGAACGCAAGTTTATTGGTAACAAAACATAAAAAAAAATTAATAAATAAATAAATTCATTAATAAATAGATAAATAAATGAACGAACGAACGAACGAACGCACGAATGAACGAACGAACGAACGAACGTTGTATTGTACTTATTAAAGATCTATTGAAGACCCAGATGGAGGAAAGAAATATCAAAGTTTGCTGTTAGGTTTAATGCATTTTGTAAAGCAAAGATATAAAATAAAATCTTGCAATATATCTGTCATCTTTAATATCTTTATGATGTATGACAAAAATAAACAAAAGAGTAGCTCGGACTGTTTTTGATATATCTCATAAATATAAATGCAAATTAATAAACGTATTCAAAAGTTTTTTATTAGGGACGCTAAGATACCAAGACGTGATTATAGTCTGCATATATAAGAAAAATGTTTTTTGATATTTTTGTTTCGAAATTAAATTTGAAAATTCTTACGCACAATGTGACACTTTGACTACGCTGACAAAATAATTTAAATTACAGAATGTTTTTCAAATACCAAATGCAACCAAAATGACGTAAAAGATACAAAAAAATGAGTTGTAAAGTACAGCTCATAAGTGTTTTCATTCTTTCTTAACAATATCGCATCAAAGTGGTAAGAAGTTGCTATCTATAAAGACATCAACATGAAAATTAGATACACCTCTCTTTATAGCGGTCTTCAGCTTTTACTATTTTTGTTGGAATAACAATTCTGTATTGTTTTTATTGTTTCAAACTGAATATTTCTATAATTTTATTTTCAATTTTGGAAGAGTGTATCATATCACTGTTGAGCCTCCTTTAAAACAGTGTCCCGAGAGCTATTTACATCGCGTAATGCCCCGGTCACATATTCACGGATAATGCCACGGAAGAGCTACGGTCCAATCGTCCACGGATTACTACGGAAATGTGAAATTTCGTAGTCCGCTACGGTTCCTGTACGGACACACAACGGTATGAGTACGGAGTCCGACGGATTTACCACCAAAAGCCCCCAGAGAGACACGGATTGTTACGGACCAACACGGTTTGATACGGAGCGACACGAATCAGGACGGACGCAATACGGATACAATACGGTCTGCTACGGTATAAGCACGGGTTAGTACGAATAAGTACGGTCTGATACGGAGAAGAACGTATTGATACGGAGAAGAAGGAATTGCCACGGATCTATACGGACCTAATACATCCGTCCACAACCTCATGCTTGCTCATTTTCAAAATGCCTCAAAAGAAAAGAACACCCAGAAAACGAATTGCAGAGTTCAATGATTTTGGCAGAGAGGACTCGGCCTAATCGCGTCCGACCCCCGAGACACATCAGGTCCGATTTAAATGAATTTCTTGAATGACGCTGGATCCTCAACAAGTTCGGCCATGAGAGCCTCATACTAAACTTGAAGCGGTCTTCGTAAAAGCCCATCTCTAGTTCACCATCTCGTCTGTCTTCTCTTACCTGATTAGATATGGACTAGTAATCATTAATGAAAAATGTTGATCAATACTGCTTCTCTTTTAATTTAAGATTTGCTGTTCATCTTACAATTACATTAATTATCATGATGTTTTTGTTTTAAAAATATGTAAAAAGCTTGTTGATTAATCTTATTATCACTCAAGGACCAGCCTCCGAGGCTTATGAGACACTTCGTTTTATGTACACATTTACTCCAATTTCAAGATTCAATGTTTGTAAAATATGTATCATTAAATGTTATTCTATTACTTACGAATTGTAGTACGATATTAATATAAATTTACTT